ACCTACGTCTTTCCAAAATTTTACACTCATTTCCCATGCCTTATTGCGTTGGGTTATATGCTGATGCATTAATATGGCTCCACACCTTCGGGTCATCTCAGCGGACGGCGGGTTTAGATGTGCCCCCGTCAAAGCTTTGTATAAGGATGTCGAGGTCGTTACCATATGGGGATGGGGTCAGAAACATGAAAAAAGGGGGCGTCTCTCTGCACACTTTTTTCCCGTGGAGGGGGGCAGGGGGCTGGAGCGTCGAACTCCCCATCAGCAGTCACTTCATAGCCTCCCCTCATCGGCCCCAAGCCCTGTGGGGCACGAGGGGATTAGCAGGGTCACGACCGACTTTCTCTGAGTACTTAGGAAAAGAACATGGGAACAAAATCGACGTATGAATGATATTAATCATGTGACACTCAAAGCTTCATCAGCCGTCCCTGTCGCTGCATCCTGTGCTAAGCTTGAGCTAAATTCCATCTTTACGACTAGTGTCTCTGTAGTGGACTTATTCTTATATTTATGAGACAGTCGTAGCAAGTTGGATCAGGCCGACAAAATTGGTAAATAATGATTTGACCTGCCTTTTATTAAGTAGATTGGAAGAATTGAATGTGAACAGCATAACAAGGCTGTTTGGCTTTGAAAAGTGTCATTAATGGTCACTCTGACAATAGAATCCTTGCCATTCCCAGAGAAATTAAAGGAGTGCAAATCGGGAAACAGAGTCTATTATAGGGGCGTGACACGGTTTACTGTATCCCGTTACACCGACTCAGACAGCGAAACAGAAAATCATTTAACCGGCTTCTGTCGCGAGACATCACCATGACAGTCGACTATTATTTACGGAAAACGAGCAACAGAAGGCGAAATAACTAGGAATCAACCAGAGACAATTACGGAAATCAAAACGTTTGTGTGGACATGTCACAAGAAGGGAGATGAATTTTGAGTTATTTCTGAGGGGTAAGGTGCCCATGGCCTGTTTTCTTGCCACCAGTTTAAAGCGGCGTTAGACACCGGGCGGAAAGATACAAGGTTAGGCTCGGATAAGGGTGCCTAAATGTTTGAATTAATTTCTACAGTGTGCGTAGCAGTGAGCTTGCCAACCGTATGACCTATATATTATCGTATATGCCGCCAAGATCATCGATGTTTGGTTGACGTCTATTTGATAGTTACCGGAATGCGTCCGCATAGATCGATTTCTAATGGTTCAAGTATCATTACTCGCTCGACAGGGACTAGTAAATGTGCAAATACACACACAGAGGTCTGCAAAGTCAGTTTACCATGAAATTCAGGGCGAATAAGTAGTGTGACTGAGAGCATTAGTCTTAACTCGACCACTGCGTAAATGTGTGCAAAAACGGAATTCATTTGACTTTGTAGGTCTTCACAGATCAGGTCTCCTTCAGGCAGCGTCGTGAGAAATAGGTCATTCTTTTCAGCCAGCGACGAGGCTCATTTCAGGGGGGCCATGTACCTGCAGTGCGTTTCTTACGAGTGTGTTTCCAGCTGTGAGATATCGATGAAGCCAATCCTTTTAATTTGGTGGCTAGGTTGTTGAATATGCTTAGCTTCTGACCTAGAGGGGCATTTTGTGGAAAGATGAATATTGTCTCGTCCATATTTTTTACAGAATAGGCTTCAGCAGACTTTTCCAGTGCGTATTTCAGTCAGGAATGTGTTCAGACAGGGAAGCTCCTACACATATCAATTTCATACATTGATCTTACGCTTGACGGGTTGGGTGCACTATTTTTGGAGGCTAGGCAGATTAGTCTTCTCGTCCCTTATAACAGAAACAGCATTAAAGCTGGCCGCATGCTAAAGTAATGAAAGAGGAAGTAGCATAAGTGTACACATTATCAGGGCTGACAGTACGAAAAAGGGAGCGGACTGGTAACACATGTGATGAGACTAAAATAACAATTAAGCGCAGAACGGTTTGCACGATTGTCTGTGAATACCCCGTGATTGGTGATTTCTGCTCCCCGGCTATCTACTGAAACAATTTATCAGGCAGAATGTCACATCAACTCCGCATCTCCAAACTACTGAAGCCGACAGAAAATCTCTCTTCTATACAGAAGATCACATTTCTACAAGGAATCAAAGAGCCGCAAAGAACGACTCGTCTAGATCCCGTCCCCACGAAATACGCGGATAATGCTAGCTAAGTCAAACCCGTAGAACCGCTGAGTAAGAGCGATCAGGTCGTACTCTTCTGATAAGACTGTCTATGCATTCAGCAAACGGAGACGACTGACATTCAACTGAACGGCTGGTGTGCAAATGTCGTTGACATTCGAAAAGTGTTGTTGCTTGTGCACGGATATTCCTAGGGCACGCTTTTCGGTCCTTTAATGTTCTTACTCCGTGCCGGCTATCTCATGACAGAATTCCGCTGTGATGGGATCACGTTCGTAAGTCACATCAATATTTGACAAGCAATCAAATATAATAACGATGGAACAACTTTCCAGGGAAACTTTGGTCGCCTCTTTGAGTAGTGTCATTAATGACAATCACAATGAAAACATAATTCAGTCGACAAACCATCGCTTACCAATACTCCTATGATTGAGGCTCCTGAAGAAAGTAACTGAATAAAAGTATCTCAGCGTCACCATCTTTTCGTCAACGAAGCCCACTCAGTGTGCCGTGGCGATCGAGAGGCGACTTCTGTTTTCATTGCGATGAAAAGGTCTTTCCTTAGTACATATAAGGTGTATACAAAGATTGTCCTATCGTAAAGCATAAGATGCAGTTGAAAGCAAATACCGGTCTTTCCAAGACTGCGCAATCCCACGCTATGATACCCGTAGGTTGATAGACAGCCTATTGGCAAACAACGGTCCATTGCCTGGACGTTAGAAGCATTATCATGCTAATGTGCTTGATAAAATATATTGTATTAAACTCAGCCAGGGCCGTCTACAGCCCCCGAACTAAAGAAGGCGCGCTCTTACTCATCGCCGACGAACGATGATACACAGTGAGCAATCGCGGATTCGGAAGCGCTGAGCCGAGCACTTCAGAAGCGTCCTCATACGACTATAAACAACCTCCGACGGCGCCGTCAACAGGTTTCCTTAGGTGAAAACGAAAACCTTCGCCTCACATGACCAATAAGTCGTTTGTCAGATTTTCATCGAGGAAGGGCCAGGAGTCCACGCACTCCCAATCGAAGTCTACAAGTATGGTGGTCCTCTGAATATGAGCAAGCCGACCTCACTCTTCCGGGAGATGTGACGACAAAGATAAGTACCTCAGAACTACAAAGAGGAAACAGCCTGCCACACATACAAGCGCATAAGCAACCGACACATCTATGACGATCACAGTCGCAATTCGCTACTGAAAATCGCAAGGAAATGCTTCACTCGCGTCCTCCTCAACTGTCTGGACACGCACAAGGAGCACCGAACTCTTCCAGAAAACTAATGTGAATTTCGCCGGAACAGCGGAAATATCGACACGGATTTTGCATCCCGCCAACTCTAGGAGAAATAACAAGAGATAAGAGTCAACTTTTACAACATCTTCGTCGATCTGACAAAGGCCTTTGACGTTGTCAACGGCGATAGATTCTGGGAACTAGTTCTAAAATTTGAATGTGCGACAAAGCAGCCCGTCGGATCTCAAAAGCCACTTAGACTTTTGCCCGGCCACAGCAGTCATTTTGGAATCAACATAAACTTCAAATCGACAGGAAATGACGATGAGTCGAGCCGTTCTACTGACAGCACCGCTGCGCTGACGGAATCCAGGATTATGTTTGAGAACAAACTGTGGAAGCTCGACCACTCCCACCTCAAATGCCTCCGGAGAATCCCGAAGCTGAGGTGAAAGGCAGAACCCTAGATACGGAAGTTCTGGGGCGAACCGAAATCCTTAGCATTCACGGCATGTTTGGGCAAACCCAATGAAGACGAGTGACAACGAGCACCTACCCAAGCGGCTATCCTACGGCGACGGCGAAACGGGTGTTCGCCAACATGGAGGACAGAATCGGCGTAATGTGGACACTGAAAATTTTCCACAAGAATCTACAAATCAGCCCGGACAGCAGGTGGGACATCATTTAAAATTCACGGACCCAGAGAACAGCAGTGAAAACGACTGGATCGTCGCTGCCAAAACCAAAAGAGCCTCAAATCGCATGGGCCGAAAACAATAACACCCACTACTTTCGTGGCAACCAAAAGCAAAGGCAAACTCTAGTCATTACGAACTTTAGTCTCGGTCTCGAAAAGAAAGAGGTGATATAGGCAGAATGATATTACCGAAAAAGACACGAGAGAATGGAATGGCCATTTCTGGCTTATTAGCCGTCGTCAGCCAGTCATACCCAACCCCTAACGGAACGAGCGAGTCCCGTAAGAACGATCGGTGAGCGCCCTCCCGTTGTATAGTCCCGGGGTGTAGGGGTGTCAGCGGTGGGTTCACGTAATGGTCGTGGTGGTCGCTCACTTGCTTGCAGGTGAGACTACGCCTAGCGTTCACTAGCTGGCACTCAACTCTCACATGTGGCTCCATGTAACTGGGCTCTGCTCAGCGGCCATACCCCGGGCAACCGTCTCGACCGGCGGGCTAAACCAGGTGAGGGGGCCCTGTGCGCTGTGCCGTGTGCACAGGGTTTGCGGATTCCGCTGGATGGAAGGTCGGATGGAACCTTGCGTCGGCACCGTCGTGACGTGGTTCGTCTCTGCACGTCGCTGGACAGCCGGTGACGGGTTGGATCTCCACATCGACATCGCCTTGACGCGCCCATCTACGCCGTCGGAGACCGCGGCTTACGGCGAATTGGAGTCGCTCTCCACTACAACCCGAAGTCGTGGCCCCATAGTGGAGTTCGGCCGTGCCACAACGGCACATGACAGATCTATTCAGGGATGGCACCGCCAGCTCCCACGAGGGGAAGGGCCTAGAAAAGGTGGCCTAAACATTGCTGGGCACCACGCCGTCTTCAGGCTAGCCAGGGCTGCAGACGTCTAAACATGGTCGAAACAATCAAAATCGAAACAGCAACAACAATACCTACAGCAACAACAACAATACTCGCTCACCTCATCCTACCTCTTCTTTCTCGTCCTCTGCCTATTCTTCTGCCTATTCTTCTCCTTCGCCATCTTCTTCTCCACCTCCTGCCCGTCGCCCCACTCATTGTCACCAGACTGGCAGGGTGAGTCCGCTCACTCTGGCAGCCTTGAATGTTCGTTCCCTTTTAGGCAATCCGAGGGGCAACCGACCGGAACGAAGGACGGCGCTAGTGGCACGGGAACTGGCACGCTACAAGGTGGACATCGCCGCACTCAGCGAGACCCGATTCTCCGAACAAGGCCAACTGGAGGAGGTGGGTGCCGGCTACACCTTCTTCTGGAGCGGTCGACCCAGGGCAGAGCGACGGGAAGCGGATATCGCCTTCGCCATTCGGAACGACATCGTGAGACGACTGGCCTGTTTGCGCAGGGCATCAACTATCGCCTGATGAGCCTCCGCCTGCCTCTCTGGGGAGGCAAATTCGCCACCATCATCAGCGTCTACGCTCCGACGATGACCAACCCCGACGCCGTCAGAGACAAATTATACGAGGACCTGCACGTCCTCTTGGCGACTGTGCCGAAGGCGGACAAGTTAGTTGTCCTTGGCGACTTCAACGCCCGCGTCGGCACAGACCATTCTGCCTGGAGAGGAGTGCTGGGTCCCCACGGTCTCCGCGGCTCAAACGACAATGTTCTGCTGCTTCTCCGCACCTGCGCAGAACACCGTCTCATCCTAACGAACACGTTCTTCTGTCTGCCGGAGCGAGAGAAGGCCACCTGGAGGCATCCTCGGTCGCGTCAGTGGCACCTGCTGGGCTATGTCCTCGTCCGGAGGCGAGATCAGCGGGACGTGCTGGTGATAAAGGCGATCGCGGGCGCTGACGGTTGGACCGACCATCGCCTCGTCATCTCGAAGATGCGTATTCGCCTACAGCCTCGCAGGAGATCACAAGGTAAGCGACACCCAGGTAAGCCGAATGTTGCCTTGTTGTCTTTGCCTGCTCACCATCTTCATTTCAGCAATGAGCTAGCTCAACGGCTAGACAACCTTCCTATCGCTGCCGACGCCGCCGACGAGAACACCTCCGTGGAGAACCGCTGGTGTCAACTTCGAGACACGGTCCAGTCGACGGCGCTCGCCGTCCTCTGTCGCGCTCCACGCCAACACCAGGACTGGTTCGACAACAACAACGCCGCCATCAAATCTGCTTGATGAGAAGAACCGCTTACACAAAGCCTACGTAGATCACCCCACTGATGCCACCAAAGCTGCCTTCTACCGCAGTCGCCGCCAACTTCAGCAACGACTGCGCGAGATGCAGGACGCCTGGACTGCTCGCAAAGCTGAGGAGATCCAAGAGTACGCGTACCGAAATGCATGGAAGAACTTCTTCTCTGCGATCAAAGCTGTCTACCGTCCGCCGACGAAGGGCACTGCTCCTCTCCTCAGCGCCGACGGCAGCACTCTCCTGACTGAGAAGACGCAAATCCTACAGCGATGGGCCGAGCATTTCCGAGGCGTCCTCAACCGCCCCACCGTCATCTCCGACGCCGCCATAGAGCGTTTGCCGCAAGTGGAGACCAGCGTGGACCTCGACCTCCCGCCATCTCTCCAGGAGACCAGCAGGGCCGCGCAGCAGCTCTCCAGCGGGAAAGCACCCGGATCGGACGCAATCCCTGCTGAGGTCTACAAGCACGGAGGTCCCCAACTGATGGATCACCTGACTGCGCTCTTCCAAGAGATGTGGCGTCAAGGTGGGAAGTCCCGCAAGATTTCAAAGACGCAACCATCGTGCATCTCTACAAGCGCAAAGGGAATCGCCAAGTCTGCGACAATCACCGCGGCATCTCCCTGCTGAACATTGCCGGGAAGATCTTCGCCCGCATCCTTCTCAACCGCCTCAATAACCATCTGGAACAGGGCCTTCTGCCGGAAAGCCAATGCGGCTTCCGTCGTCATCGTGGGACCACGGATATGATCTTCGCCGCCCGTCAACTTCAGGAGAAGTGTTAGGAGATGCGGACCCACCTGTATTCTACCTTCGTGGACCTGACGAAAGCCTTCGACACGGTGAATCGTGAAGGACTGTGGAAGATCATGCAGTAATTCGGCTGTCCGGAGCGATTCACCTAGATGGTGCGTCAGCTGCACGACGGTATGATGGCGCGAGTCACGGACAACGGAGCTGTCTCAGAGGCGTTCGCAGTGACCAATGGAGTGAAGCAGGGCTGCGTACTGGCGCCTACCCTCTTCAGTCTTATGTTCTCTGCCATGCTGATGGGCGCCTACCGCGACGAACGCCCCGGGATCCGCATCGCCTACAGGACGGACGGTCACCTCCTGAATCAACGGCGGATGCACTTCCAATCGCGCGTATCCACAACCACCGTTCACGAACTCCTCTTCGCCGACGACTGCGCCCTGAACACCACCTCGGAAGAGGAGATGCAACGGAGCATGGACCTGTTCTCCGCCGCCTGCGAGAACTTCGGTCTGGTCATTAACACGCAGAAGACGGTGGTGATGCACCAACCGCCACCCAACTCAGTCACAGCCCCAACGCGCCGCCGCAAATCAGCGTGAACGGAACCCAACTGCAAGTGGTGGAGAACTTCCCGTACCTGGGCAGTACTCTCTCCCGCGACACCAAGATCGACAACGATGTCGCCAACAGGATCTCGAAAGCCAGTCAAGCCTTCGGTCGCCTCCAAAGCACAGTTTGGAATCGCCACGGTCTTCAGCTGAGCACGAAGCTGAAGATGTACAAGGCCGTCATCCTGCAGACGCAACTGTATGGAGCGGAGACTTGGACGGTGTACGCAAAGCAGACACGCCGTCTGAACCACTTCCACCTCAGTTGTCTTCGTCGCATCCTGAGGCTGAAGTGGCAGGATCGAATCCCCGACACTGATGTGCTTGAACGGACGGGAATCCTCAGCATCTACGTCATACTGAGACAAATGCAGCTGCGCTGGAGCGGCCACCTGGTGCGCATGGACGACGAGCGACTACCCAAACGACTCTTCTACGGAGACGTCGCGACGAGTTCTCGCCGTCAAGGAGGCCAGATACGCCGTTACAAGGATATCCTGAAGTCCTCCCTGAAGCGCCTGAAAATCAACCCGACCAACTGGGAGGGGCTCGCACTCGATCGACCTACCTGGAGGAGGACAGTGAAGACAGGCACTGCTATCTACGAAGCCAACCGCATCGCTGCTGCCAAAGAGAAACGCGAAGCCCGCAAAGCACAACTTCGCCCAGTAAGCAACGCCGCATCACAACCGCTTCCAACGTGTCCTCGATGTCAACAGACATTCCGGGCTCGAATCGGACTTGTTGGACATCTTCGGACTAACTGCGCCTCTCGAACCGCACCAACCATCGTCCCCCCGCCTCCCTCTTCCTCCTCCTCTCCGCCGCCAACAAACTCTGACGATTCTTCTGACCCACCACTTCCCTCCTCCTCCTCTTCCTCCTCCTCCT